TATTGACAGATTCACCCCCACCAATAGCCTGTCAAACAGATGACATAATCAGCCACATCACATATTATACAAATGTTATATATTAGGGCTGGAACGGGTAACTCAGATACTCTGGTCAGGTAGGACCCGGTTACCCACAGGACTATCCGGACCAGTGGTTAGTCAAGTGATATATTGTTTAATGACAAAAACTTACTATGGCTTAGTGGTTACACTACAAGTCGCTAATTTTCGCATTTCTTTCTGACAATGCCACATTCCTTTTGACTTGTATATGTTTGAGTAAAGATAAAGCTTCAGTCAACTTCAGTGTATGCATGATCTGATAGTTTGATACATGTATCTAATTGTTTTACTGCAACCCAGGCAAAAACTATCAGACATTCTCTCCCCAATTCTTGAGACCTGCAGTGGGTACCCAGGTAGGGTCAGGTAATAGGGGGTCAGGTACCCGGGTAGTAAATTTGGACTTGTCCCACCCCTATTATATATGTATACCACCTACCTGTAATTTGTACTTATCCAGCCTCAGGATTATTCTAGGAACATCAACAACTGAACAAAAGGTTTGTTGTTTCTTTAATCAGCAAATAAAGGTCAAAGACCAAATACCAGCAGTCCAAACACCAAATGTGTTAACAACAATGGCCACCGATCCAGGGCTCAATTTAGCTTTATAAAACATACAGTACAACCTATTACTGACAAACGCACCTAATACTTAACATGATTAAGTCTACATGCACCAACTGCATGTCAACAGATTTCAAATTTTTGTCTTACTAACTCTTACATGTCCTCACAACATCGGTCTTTGAACACACTCAATACCTTTAAGCTTTATTACATCACTAATGCCTGTTTTATGTGTAATCCATGACAAAGGTTTAATGCGATGCACAAATGGGCGTCCAGTGCTCACAAATGTTAAGATTGGACGTGGAAAAAGAATTTGCATCCCGAGGCTGCAGGATAATATTCATTGTACCTACAGCGCATCAAGAGCAGTTATGGGCGTATTGTTTCAGCCATCAATCTTGACCTCTGTCCACAGGATCATTGATTCATTCCAGACTCTAAAGTAACAAGGGCAAAAGTGAGCGTGGCTCACTAATACCCCCGACCCACCTAGTGTGTCAGTAGTTTCAAATTAAAAAATGGATAGGGTTAGGGTTTGAAAAATTCATTAAAAAAATGGAAAATTAATAAAAACATTTTTTTTCTTTTGACTGCACCCCTATATATGACACAGATTATATGTACTAAGTTTGAGATGAATCTACTGAATAGAGAAATCGCGCGGACAAAGTTTTTGGACGGACGGACGGACGGAACCTTGGTATAACTATATACCCCCGATCTAAAAGGTCGTGGGCATAATTATCAAAATGTACAATACACTACACGAATACATTACTTTACAGCAGGGGTCCGGAAACTGTCATATGCGCTGGACATGTCCGATTGGGAATCTCAAATGTCCGCTTTAAAATATTGCTTACCTGACATTTAAATTTTTCTGTCCGGACATTTTAAAAAACAAACAGTTTACAGGACCCTCATATTGCCTGCAAGGGCCCTTAAAATTATTATTTGGGGTCCCCTGGACCCCCACTTTTGTAAGTAAGGTAAAACCCTGCATGACACATGACAGTCATCAGGGATCTGACATTTTGCACCTGGTGCAAGTTAAATCAAGTTTCTTAAATTGAGCCCTGACAAACTTGTAAATGTATGTGACAATGAACACAATTCAGCAAGATTCAGTACTGAAACATTTCCTTGTAAGAAATAAATCAGATTCTCATCTGTCCATGGTGTGACGCTTCACAGCATTTAGCCACCATATTGACTCGAAGCCAACAACATGCAGAACTCAAACCCTTTCTTCTTTCCAAACACAACTAATTGTCCTGATCGAAAACCATTTTTCTCATTAGTACATATGTGTGCGTGCCATGACATAGACTAGCACAAGTCTCTGAGGCAATAGGGCCTGTCGGGTAGCCTAGTGGTTAAAGCGTTCGCTCGTCAGGCCGAAGACCCAGGTTCAAATCCTGACATGGGTACAATGTTTGAAGTCCACTTCTGGTGTCCCCCGCCGTGATATTGCTGGAATAATGCTAAAAGCGGTGTAAAACCAAACTCACTCTGAGATAATAATTATTAGCTTAAATCATAAGTTCTTGATTATGCAAATAATAAGAAGCTGTCCCTATAAGAGACTGGAGTCCTTACTGTCCACATATCTAGACTTGCCTTTTGGGAGGATAGAATTACTACACACCCATGGACTTTTCTTTCAGTACAGCCTAGGAGCAAGGCTAGCCATGTCACAAAATAAGGAAATTGAAAGAACACAAATATATTCCACCAGGGAACGGAGCCTGCCCATCACTGTTGTTGACTAAGTGTAGCAAGCACCTGCCGGGTCGACATGACCCAGGAGATGATTGCTGTAATTACCCTGTTATAATCAAGTGTGAGAGTGACAGTTGGTTTGGGGCTACTTTTACCATTATCACATTCCGGCAGATTTCTGTACCTTTCTTAACTGGTTGTGTGTCTTAATGGCTCTTTGCAAAAATCAAGCCACATGACGGCAGTGTGTAAATAATCGAATGTCGACCAGAAAATCCAGTGATTGACATTATGAGCAACGATCCAGGCTGTTAGGGTAAGTTGACACGACATCAATGAAGTCAATGAGCCTGACCACCGGATACAGGAAGTGGCCTCTCACGACCAGCATATGTTGCTGGCGACTTATTCTAACCCGGAATCCCTACGATGACAGGCTATCAACCAAGTCACCAAGTCTGACTACCGATCCAATACCGTATTCGACGTAATAAGAGCCTAGGACGCTCTCAAAATTAGAAATAGGGGGCTCTTATTAGAATATTATTTTGGTGAAAAAAACTGAGTTGAAAGATAAATATCATTATTTATGCTGAAATATTTATGTACGACAGATATATTTTTCCATAATTTAATTGCCCATAATTGAGGGGGCATATAACACATGAGTGCGTATTATACGCGAATACATGTCTTGTGTACATTGATCAATTGGAAGGGGCGCTAATTGGGATTGTTCACAAGCCGATATCTTAGCAAATGTCACTGTGGGCGCTTATAAGAGCGGGGCTCTTATTAAGTCAAATACGGTAAGTCACTATTTACAACCAACACAGGGATCATGCCAAAGACACATAATCCAATTAACCAATAATCATGATAATTGACCTATTTTTAACAAACAATAGCTCTAGGCGTAGCAAAGGCTATATCATGTGTACTTTCTCAAGGTTGAGCTTGTTGTAGTAACACAATTAGGGCTGTAAGGATACCCCTTGCTGTTAGCCAGGCCTATCGTGATAGTAAGGTTACGATATTTGATATATCACAACTGTACACTTGTCATGTGTCGTAGTCCGTCATAAAACATGAGGCATGAGTAGGGCCCTACTTGCTCAAACCTGTTTAGTAAAGTTGTGCTAAATACAACATCAATGGCACAAGGTCAATAGACAGACAGACAGAAAGACACAGACAGACAGACAGACAGACAGAATTCACTCAACCTGTTTCGCGAATACAGTTATACCGTTATGCTGTTTTGACGTCACAGTGCACTCTAACATAGTATGACGTCATAGTGCAATCTTAACTTTGTGACGTCACAATAAGACAGGCATAGGGCAGGCGTACGACACATACAGAAATAAGTATTGTAGTGGCAGTAAAATATACAATAATTGTATAAAATAAGTCAAATATTTCAGGCCATTTAATTTTGGTTTGAAAGTATTAATAAAATAACTTTCTTTTATCTTTCTCAGCGTATCATTTTCACATTTGGAAAACGGGAATATCACAAAATTGGGTGTTTTATCATTATCAGAGGGTATGATGCAAAAAAACTACATATATATGTATATACACCATCAGAAAATATAGTTTAAAACATATTTCCATACTGCTTGGCATGTCCTCCATAAATATATCCTCAGGGTTAGAGGCTAACAGTTTTTGTCCACTAGTCCTTATAATGATAACATATAGCAAAACCCTTAAAATGGGCCAATTTCTACTAGTCCTTAGGATACCTTTACTATTGGGCAGTTTGGTAAGGACTACAGGACTAGTGCCAATTTCTAACGCTGATCCTTATAGCATTTGTTCATCAAGGTGAGGTGAAATGGTGAAACGCCGCGTCCAAGATTATTGCACTTATATAGCGACGTGCATGCACGTGTGTGTGTGGCTGCTTGTACTAGTCCGGACTGATGCCGATTTATAGTGCTAGCTCACTGAGATACCATGCCGCAGTTTAACATGAATACACCACTCAGACACAGCATACTGACTCCAAGCCGACCAGTCCTTGTTTTAGCCCCTTAACACCGAGCGCCAGACAGGGTAACAACAAGTACCATCTTTTAACGTCTTTTTGGTATGACGCGGTCAGGGATCGAACCCCGGACCTTCTGCTCTCCGGACGGACGCTCTAAGTAAGGATAGGATTTATAAATGAACAACTTTATTACAATTAAGGGCGATGTTTCAGTGTAGGTTCTAACACCGTTATCAATGCTACTTGCTTAACATATATAGATCTATCCATTAAGAGATGAAAATATCATTACCAAAAAATAATGTAGGATTGTTATCATTATTATCAAATATAATCTTTATTATATTCTACGTATTTCAGAGGGATTAACATATTCAGTGATCGATATTAATTTACACCAACTCCATGCTGTACTGGATTATTATTATCATTGTTTAAAATGCATTATTATTAAACGTTTGACACACATATTTATTCAAAGACAGTGTTGTGTTTGTACATGCACATCGTCGTCCTGAGGCTTGCAAAGACATTAGACTCTACCATTATTACTATTATTATCTTTTGTCAGTAACTGATAGTTATTATGCATATCGTACAAAAGTATTGCACAGTACAGAAGGGGGTCCCTGTGAATTACCTTCCTGTTCGGCGCTGTAAACCACACTTCGGAAAACTTCAAAACAATAACATAGTCTCCGTCTTTTGACAGTGGAACGTCGTAGCCAAAGGTGGACATGTGATAGCGTTCAGTCTGGTACAATATTTGGTCCTGTGGTACCACTCTTTGGATCAGAAGACTTTTGCCATAATCAGAGGCTTGCCCGATTTTCTGTGGATCCGCCTGGTAACGGATGCCTTGGACATCGGTGTGACTGCTCCCGCCGCAATTCACGGCCCAAATAACCTCTCCGATTCCCATGCACTGCCCGACAAGCGACAGAACGCAGACTGCACTAAATAGCACATGTTGTTTGTGTAAAAACTGTTCTAGTCTTTGAATCGCGGAGCCGGCGATGGTCAACATTTCCACCACGCTTGCTTCTCTTCCGTAAAGGAAATGACGCGGCAGGAGTAACACTGCGCAGGCGCGAGTAATAGTCGTCGTGAATGGATAAAAGACGTGTAATAACCAACCTTGTCAGATCTTTTATCATCCGCTTTTGACATAGTTTATACCGGAGCAATTAACTACTGTTCGGTCAATCAATATTCAAGTAGAGATATATTGTGGTGTACGTGTGCTGTAATGTAGTGGTAGATCATTTTTTGTGAAAGTGTTAACGTAAAAGCTGAAATTTGCTTGAGTATGAACTCGTATGACACGGACCGGGTGAAAGGGTTTATTACAGAGTGTGGCAAAATATTTTTCCGAAACGATAGTGTCAGAAATTGGGTATTACCTGAACAGGCCTTTTCTTCGTATCAAATTATGCAATCATTATTTTATTTAGACGAAATAAAATATTAATTGGTGCATGCATGGTTGCATGGCGTATTTTCTTGCAAAATGTAACATTCTTGCCACGCACGATCATGTGAATCAAATGACTTGACAAGGGAATAGCATTTTATAAGGGGGCGATTCTCCTTAATTTCAACTGCCGAATTAGTTGGATTTAAAAATTGGTTAAGATGTAATGTAATATAATTTATGAATAAAAACACAAAATATAGGTAAATAATAGAAATACATAGGACATTAATAATAATGATTTGTAACAATATGGTCCAAATAATTTCCGTAAGGTTAGCCCGCCTTTCATACTTCCTTGATTTTTACGGCAGCTAAAAAATATACGAGTAAAAGCGGCAAATACACACTGTAAGTATTTTCCATTCATCCTTTCCACGGGTACATAATGTGAAACAAATAACAGTAACATATCTAATATACTATGGTCTTGTCGCGGTCGTCGTTTAGACACTGCGCCCGTGGAGATCCGGGTTAGAGTAGGTCTGCAGCAACCCATGCTTGTCGTAGGTAGCGACTAACGGGATCGGGTTGTCAGGCTCGCTGACTTGGTTGATGCATGTCATGGTATTGATGCTCATGATATCAATTAATCTGGTTCAGACTCGATTATTTACAGACCGCTGGAATATTGCTGAGTGCGGCGTTAAACAACAAACAAATATATCTTCCACATTGATCCTACACTCTTACCCGTCGCCATGCATATATATAGTTCCCACATACAACCACGAGCAAGTCCAACCTATACGCCCTGACACACCAGAACACCACTACCCACAAAGATTCACCTCTCCCATCCATATTTTCCTGACTAATGCTTCCAAATACTAAGGGCAGTATTTCGCTCATCTGCTTATAAATGTGTTATATTGATATAAGCGCAAGAGAATAACACATTAGACATCCACTCTCATACACGAATCACAACACACGCACGTTCTCGCTCTCTCTCTCTCTCTCTCTCTCTCTCTCTCTCTCTCTCTCTCTCTCTCTCTCTCTCTCACACACTCTCTCTCTCTCTCACACACATACACACACAATTGACACAATGTACAAATATGTAGACTTGCACACGTCTCTTAGTCAATAATTATTAATTTTAATCATAATTACTAGATTATGTAAAACATAAGAACAAGTTGTCCCTATAAGAGACTGGAGCCCTGTCCACATATATATATATAGACTTGCCTATTAGGGGGAAAGAAGTATTACACGCCCTGGACTTATCTTTCAGTACAACCTTGGAGCAAGGCCATAACATCAACACTTAATTGCAGTGTCACATGCCAGATGGGGGATCGGTGTTACAGGAAACATGACGATAGAAAATGATTTGTATTTATTTATCTGTTTGTTTGATTTTATTTCAGTTTTTTATTTGTTATCTCTGATTGCTTGAAATAGCTTCATATCAATATAGAATCCAGGAGTAGAGTCACTGCTGTAGTGTAACGTTAATTTTTATACCTAGAAAGCCTTAATTTGTTTAGTATGTGCCACACATGTGCTTGCAGTCTAACCGTTTCACCAAAGTATAGGTCAGTGTCTAAGACCTGTGTCACTTAGACCCTCACGCCAGAGCTGAAAAATTGCTGTGTGATAAAACTTATATATTTCTCAATTCGGGATAAAGCCAAACCTATTCACCCCCCAAAACACCTGTTCACGCAGCAAGTCGATATTAATGGATCAATATCGATATCAGCAAATCGCCCCCACATGGTGTCTATTGTGTAGTATCAGACACCGCAACCTTGCCATAATTATGTCTTCAGCGCTAAGTTAATGAAATATTCAAACATCGCCAAATCTTTTGCAGGAATTATTCAAAGCTTTCACAATAAGGCGTTTTCCTCAGATTATGGAGCAATGCATTTAATCACGCAATGACATATGTACCATACTCAAGAATTATTCAAGGAGAGTGAGTGAGTGAGTGTAACGGCGCCTTGAACACTATTCAAGTTATTTCACGGCTTGTATATTCACCTGTTCGTTTTTTAATAAGACAGTCGGTAAGGCATTTGATGTTTGTCTCTATCTAGACATATATATATCAAGTCATTCCTTAATTCCGCATTCATTTTTTCATTAGAAATTAATTTTAAATCAAATCCAAGTATACATATATACAATCCAAAATAAAATATATTTTTCAAATATGTACTGTATCATAATAAAACCACATAACTTAGCAATGTCAATTGTGATATTTTCCAATCTTGATAAGCGGCATCAAGAAAGAACAAATATTATTCAAGCCACTTTAAACAGGATACATGTAAAACAATTAATAAATGTTCAGTACCAGACATATTTCATTGTGTGATTTTCAATATTACTATTAATTATCAACTCAACTCAACCTCAACTCACCTCACCTAGAAAACATGGAACGGTACATAGTGTCTGGGTCAGCTAACCCTTTCGGGTAGACTAGATTTAAGTTCATCAGAAGTACTGATTCGCCCTCGCCTAGCCTAGTGCTCGTTTCAAATGACAGACTTCCTCGTCGGCCGGAATAGCTCAGTTGGGAGAGCGTTAGACTGAAGATCTAAAGGCCCCCGGTTCAATCCCGGTACAGAGTGCAGGACTCTGGCGGCTGACCACACTTTTTGGAAGTCAGTTTTATGAATATGTTTACCCCAAATCAAAAGTCAAAAGTCACCAATCTCACAGAGTATCTGCAAAATATTTCAGAACAGAATATGCATTAGCTAACTTCATTTCGGAAGAGATGCCTTATGTTTCCCTGACATTTTTTTATTTGCCATGCCAACCAATTTCCATTTATGTCATCATAGATTCGCACATATCTCGCCCTCGCCTAGCCTAGTGCTCGTTTCAAATGACAGTCTTCCTCGTCGGCCGGAATAGCTCAGTTGGGAGAGCGTTAGACTGAAGATCTAAAGGCCCCCGGTTCAATCCCGGGTTCCGGCACAGAGTGCAGGACTCTGGCGGCTGACCACACTTTTTGGAAGTCAGTTTTATGAATATGTTTACCCCAAATCAAAAGTCAAAAGTCACCAATCTCACAGAGTATCTGCAAAATATTTCAGAACAGAATATGCATTAGCTAACTTCATTTCGGAAGAGATGCCTTATGTTTCCCTGACATTTTTTTATTTGCCATGCCAACCAATTTCCATTTATGTCATCATAGATTCGCACATATCTCGCCCTCGCCTAGCCTAGTGCTCGTTTCAAATGACAGACTTCCTCGTCGGCCGGAATAGCTCAGTTGGGAGAGCGTTAGACTGAAGATCTAAAGGCCCCCGGTTCAATCCCGGGTTCCGGCACAGAGTGCAGGACTCTGGCGGCTGACCACACTTTTTGGAAGTCAGTTTTATGAATATGTTTACCCCAAATCAAAAGTCAAAAGTCACCAATCTCACAGAGTATCTGCAAAATATTTCAGAACAGAATATGCATTAGCTAACTTCATTTCGGAAGAGATGCCTTATGTTTCCCTGACATTTTTTTATTTGCCATGCCAACCAATTTCCATTTATGTCATCATAGATTCGCACATATCTCGCCCTCGCCTAGCCTAGTGCTCGTTTCAAATGACAGTCTTCCTCGTCGGCCGGAATAGCTCAGTTGGGAGAGCGTTAGACTGAAGATCTAAAGGCCCCCGGTTCAATCCCGGGTTCCGGCACAGAGTGCAGGACTCTGGCGGCTGACCACACTTTTTGGAAGTCAGTTTTATGAATATGTTTACCCCAAATCAAAAGTCAAAAGTCACCAATCTCACAGAGTATCTGCAAAATATTTCAGAACAGAATATGCATTAGCTAACTTCATTTCGGAAGAGATGCCTTATGTTTCCCTGACATTTTTTTATTTGCCATGCCAACCAATTTCCATTTATGTCATCATAGATTCGCACATATCTCGCCCTCGCCTAGCCTAGTGCTCGTTTCAAATGACAGTCTTCCTCGTCGGCCGGAATAGCTCAGTTGGGAGAGCGTTAGACTGAAGATCTAAAGGCCCCCGGTTCAATCCCGGGTTCCGGCACAGAGTGCAGGACTCTGGCGGCTGACCACACTTTTTGGAAGTCAGTTTTATGAATATGTTTACCCCAAATCAAAAGTCAAAAGTCACCAATCTCACAGAGTATCTGCAAAATATTTCAGAACAGAATATGCATTAGCTAACTTCATTTCGGAAGAGATGCCTTATGTTTCCCTGACATTTTTTTATTTGCCATGCCAACCAATTTCCATTTATGTCATCATAGATTCGCACATATCTCGCCCTCGCCTAGCCTAGTGCTCGTTTCAAATGACAGACTTCCTCGTCGGCCGGAATAGCTCAGTTGGGAGAGCGTTAGACTGAAGATCTAAAGGCCCCCGGTTCAATCCCGGGTTCCGGCACAGAGTGCAGGACTCTGGCGGCTGACCACACTTTTTGGAAGTCAGTTTTATGAATATGTTTACCCCAAATCAAAAGTCAAAAGTCACCAATCTCACAGAGTATCTGCAAAATATTTCAGAACAGAATATGCATTAGCTAACTTCATTTCGGAAGAGATGCCTTATGTTTCCCTGACATTTTTTTATTTGCCATGCCAACCAATTTCCATTTATGTCA